CAAACAATACATTTTTTTCACACTGTCAACCGCTGAATGCTGCCCTTCCTATGCTCAACAGGTCTTATTCAATGGTGTGAGCATACTGACCCTACTCATGGATGCTCATATGAGAGTTAGTGCCATTCGTTTCTACCTGCTCAGCCTGGTCATATCAGGTACACACTACCACCATTCACTTTATGGAAGAACATTTCTGACAATATTAAACTGAGACAATTATAATTTGATTTAAGCATTAAATTACTGCCAAACTTAACTTTACTGACCAATATTCACTATACTAGGTATAAAGCGAAATTGAAATGCAAGTTTCTATTTCCGTTTATTTCTATTATGTTTTTTAAGCTTGTTTTCTGAAATCTATCAAAGTTGTCTAGAGCATGTTACATAAAACAAACACCGAATTAGTATCTACAAGTTCTAATCATTGCAAGTGTTTTTTAATGTGTCTTTTTCCATTTAATTCTAAATATGGCAACATAATACTGTACACTGAAAATAATTCATCCTTTATTTGAGGTTGGGTATGCAGTGAACATGTATTTCAAACCTGAAAGAGTTTTCATTTATTTATTTAATTGGCTTACATAATGAAAACACATTTAATTTCAATTTGAGCAAATCATTGATTTAATATTGTCAGTCCTAGTTTCAGCAGTCCCTTTTAAACACAGCACCTACATTGTGTCATTTATACATCAAAGAATCATCCTCAGTGTTAATCTTCTAAATGACATCTATCTTTCTCTCACTTTAAATTTTAGACATTTTGCAACTGTTAACAATCCCAGTGACTTTGTATCGGTACTACTGGGAAAGCTACCCATGGCGCCTGGGGCAAGCAGTATGCAAGGTCTACTTCATGGTCCGCCAAGTGTACTGTGCCACCACAAGCTGGGTTATCATGACCTTCACCTCTGAGCGCTATGCAGCCATTTGCCACACCATGTGGTCTGTTTCCAGCTTGAAGGTGCAGTACTTCAAAACAAAAATATATTGTTTCCTCCCAGTAGTGTTCTACTCTCACTGAAATAGCGACTATGACATAGAATGAAAAAACCTACGGAGGTCTACTAATGTACTAATGCTTGATGTTTATTTTGTCTTTTGTCCCCAAAATTCATGTAAATCACCTTTCTTGTTCTCCCTCAGGAAACAAAATGCACAAGATATTGTATATACCAATGCAAAGTAAAGCATGTATCGAAATACAGGGCATTTTCCCGTTCAAACAATGTACTGCAGACAATTTTTAGATACAAATATTTTTTGAATGTTTGGAAGCAACTTGATTTGTACTTGGCCAGATAGAACATGCAGAACTGGTTACTTTTACCAGTGCTATATTTGTATCCAATAATGAAATATAAAAGAAATAAGGATGGAAATTGGATGCAAACAGAAGGCGCAATCTTAATAAAATGCAAGATTCACACCACCAGAGAAGAAAAATTGAAGATAAGCCGTCACTGAAATCAAATCTATGTTTAGCATTTGATAGAACTGTGAACAACTGTGAACAGTGAACAGTTCTATCAAATGGAGAAAAAGTCTAACAAATGGAATTTTCTACCCTCTCTCCTTCCTTTCAATCAGAAGTCTAGGTTGCCATGCCTTCTCTCAGTATGGATCATTTCTCTGGTCTCAGCGGTGCCCTTTGCTCTGGTCTATGATCAGGCACGTGCCTGCATCCTGGACTACACGGCCACCACTCAAGAAGACGCCTTCCATGTGTCCACCATGTGTGAGATGATAGAGCCTGATCCTGCACACATCTACAAAGGAGCTTTACTCCTGAGAGCGGGATTCTTTTTTCTGGTGACGTGCTATTCAACAGATTGTATTTGCTTATCTGCACCAAACACAGGCATTAAACGCTAAACTTTCTCCAACTACAGATCCCACTGGTCTCCATCTTTACTCTCTATCTGCTCATCCTGCTCTACCTGAGGAGGAATGGACGCCAAAGGAGAAACATGGGGCTCACGCAGTTGGATCCTGAAGGAAGACGAGATGTCCAGTGCCATCGGAATGGAAAGCTACTTTCAAATGAAAAGAGAGCTCTAAAACTCATGGGTGAGCAATGGATAATTAAGTTTGTTTATGTCTTGAGGTTGTGGCATTGTAAATTTTATTCACACAGCCTTGCAGAGTAGTTGATGCTGGAAGCTTTGGGAAGCCTGGTAAAAGATTAAGATAAGTATACGAAAATGAAAGTTGATAGACACTAAGTACAAAAGTTTAGCTTTGGTCAACTTTTCCTGGCTAATCAAGTGAGTTGATGGCCTCAGCCGACACAGTGCCAGTGAAGGCAGCAAGTTACCCCACTGTGAGGATCTCATATAATTATGATGTTGTGCATAGACCAGAGATGCTACTGAGTGCAAATTAATTGCACTGACATGTTGCAGTAATTTAGGTTATGTACCTTTGAGCTGCATATTGTGTGTTTTGTTTTCCAGGTGCAGTCGTGGTGGCCTTTTTTGTTTGCAACTTTCCGGACATTGCCTCGTCGCTGATGCAGGTCTACGTGGTTGTGTGGTCCGACACCGTCCTTTCTGTCTACACAATCCTGAAATCATACTTGTCACTTCCGCTGTGGTATATCAACGGTGCTCTGGACCCGCTGCTTTTCTGTATCTCCTCCCACACATTTCGTAGAGCTTGCTGGAGAACTCTGGGTAGGCTCAGGCCTCGCTGCTACTGGACGTACAGGAGCATGTCTTGGCTGTGGCAGAGAAGTTCTTGTGAAGAAACAAGCACAACAGCCAGAGAGAAGATTGATGGTAAATGCTACAGAGAGAGGATGGACAAAGAGAGAAATACAGTCATAAACAAATCAGGTCAGAAAGATGGAGACAGCCGTGAAAGCCCCTTTCAACATGAGCTGCAACAACACACAAACTGAATTGTGATTGTTTTACTCTCAGACTACCTTGTTATACAAAATCTTAATGTATATTTTTCCTAAATCTTTACTTTCTTTCTTTGTCTTTTATTGCTGTAAGAGTTTCTCAGTGTTACAAATTCCAGCTGATGTCACATGCTGCATGCATCATTTTGGTAAGTTTTGTAAAAGTGTTTATTGTGTTTACAGAATGTGCAGAATTACCTGTATTGTACCATCAAGTAACATTTCTGTTCTTTCAGATACTTTTTTTCTCTAGCTAGAAATATATGTGTCATGCTTCACGGCTTATATTATTGTGACTGATGTGAAATGTGAATGTAATTTGTTTATACCGCATTTCCACAATTTCCTACGGAATTATTGAACAAGATGTGGCATTGAGTATAACTTGCTGTTCATATGTTGTTGAGCTTGAACTATATGTTATTTAGGGGTATTACTCAAATCATAACTGTAACAGGGTTCAAAAAAATCATATTGAAATTATTTTGACAGATATTGCATTTGCTATATGAGTCACAATTTTAGTGGGACTTTTCGAATTTAATTTTCACTGAAATAAATATAAATATGATGATGATATGATTTTTGCTGGGGCCTGTACCAAACAAGAATATTCCCTTATGTCTGGAGAATATGATTTGTAGGCCGGGGCATCTCTGTAGCACCACAATGCTTCATTTATAATGGTATGTTGTGGCACATTTTACCTTTTTCAAAAAAATTGCACCTCTTGTGATTTGGATATTGCATTTGCCATATTGCAATTTTGATAATATTTCAATTAAATGTTCAGCCCTAAACTGTACATATGACATATATATATCCAGTTTCCAATCTAGAGAAGAGGAGGGACAAAATGATTGGGTTTAAAAGGGTTTTAACATGTCTGATCCTTATTGCATTAGCCTGTAACAGTGTTTGTCAGATGATGATAGCACCCTGAATGAGTCATAGGTGTGTTGTTTATGGACAGTGTTATTCACGATGACATGCTTTATTTTATTTGTGCTTCAAAAGACTGTTTTGAGCTTAAGTTTAAGTTTGTAAGTTTCATGATGTACAATTTGTGTTTCAGAAATATGTTTTATATTGAGGTGAATCTTATTGTATTTTGCATGTGATATAAATATAATTTTGTCAAGTATCTTTGTCAAGTATCTATCTATCAACTATCAGTTAATCCATGAATCTATCTATCTAGAATGTGCTGTCACAAAACATGTGTTAGAGTTAATTGAACTAAAAACCAAACAAGGAATGTAAAACTAATGAATGCATAATTTACAGATGGGCTGAATGTATTATTAGGTGGTTGCTATGGTGGTTGCTTGCAATGTCGCAGGGTTTGCGTGTAATGACCCACAAACATGTATCACCCATCTCTGCAGTTCTCTAGATAAACAGACTGAATTGCCATTTCATTTCACGTCTTCCATTCCATAATATCTGATCTGATGATTTAGTGTAGCGTATTTCAGCTCATTGGTTTCCAAAAACAATGCATAGTTTTTTTTTTCCAGTTGCCAACCAACTGCAGCACCATCATCAGATAGACAAAATGGCAGAGCATTTATGAGTTGAAAAACCAAATATTTAGTGGGTGGAGACCAGACCTAAAAGGGGAATAAATACTGGACTTTTGTCAGGTGGACAGTAAGATGTGAATCTTACTGTATTGTTGCTCTTTGCCTGCTGAACATGTGAATAAGCAACTGCTTTCCAACACACCATATCAACTTTAAGATACAGTACAGTACAATAATATGTCAATGTTGCGTCACAGCTTGTAGGCTAGAGCTGCCCGAAAAGTCCATCAAAAATGAATGAATGCAGGTTTAAGGTTTTTTTTATTCAACCAGTCTATGTAAATAACTCCTGAAAAGATTAAATACTACTGAAGCCGTTTAAATTGTATTTATTTTTTTGTTTCAGTTACTGACACTTCCCCTTTTTTAATACACAAAGTAATGGTACAAGTAGTATGTACATGTGCAAAGGATATCGCCTCTCCCCCCAGGTGACGTATGAATATGCCAACCAATCACAACAATGTGGGCGGGACTTAAGATGAGACCGCGGAAGATTCAAAACGAAGATGGCGGCTCAAAATGTATCTCAAAACAATCACAAACTCGACAGAAGGTACCAAGTTTTCTTTTATTATGTCGACAATTGAACAAGTTACAAAACTGTAGTATAAATTGTAGGTTTCTGGGACGATTAGTTCTAATAAGTATCTTTATTTCTAACGATTCAATATTGTTAGTCATTATCAGACTTGCTAGCGTTAGCCAACGGGGCTAACTTAGCAACAACTTGTTATGCTTTGGTCGGCGTATTTGTTCAAAATGTTTTATTCCTATTGGCCTCCTTCTGTTTTAATCGCTAAACTTTGGGGACCAGCTCCCAACTTTGATCAACCCCAGCTCAGTCTCTGTGTTTCCTTGTGACAGAGGGACAAAATGCAGTGTGTTTAACAGCCAGGAAAAGCCAAACGCTAGCCAACCTGTGATTTTTAACCCGGACTTCTTCGTGGAAAGACTGAGACATGAGCATCCACAGGCCTTCGCGGATTTGATACTTAGCAATATCACTCGGCTCATAGACCTTCCAGGAGCTGAGTTTTCCCAGCTCACCGGAGAGTCTGAGCCCAGGGTGCCCTCCTCGAGTGGCTTTCTACGCTCCCTGAACTTCCTGAAGCGGAAAGGTTAGACTAACAGTATTTTAAACAAATGTGGTATTAATTGTCCATTCATTTTCTATCAGTTGACTAATCAATTCATCAACAAATCGTCTCACCTCTAATAGACAGATTAATTGCTAATTAAACTGTGCAGATAACACCCGTTGTCTTGTTCCGGGTTAATGGGGCTGTTGTCCATGTGGTTGATGGAAATTATAAAGCTATTATATAAATGTAATGATTGGTGTAATGAACTAAATCCATAGCACGTTCAAAGGGTACAGTCAGACTCACATTTTCATTTGATGCCTTTCAGACAAAGGAGTGGTTTTTGGTGCACCATTAACTGAGGAAGGAATAGCACAGATCTATCAGCTCATTGAATACCTGAGTAAAAGTGAGTATCATTTCATATATGTGCACAACATCTGCCATGTGGAGGACACAAGCAGTTTGTAACTACATACATTTTGCATGTCTGACAAGACGGTATCTGTGTCAGAAAAACATCATTTTGAATTACCTGATTTAATGATCTCGTGATATATCTGGTCAAACTGCTTGATCAGCTTGTATTTGTCACTCTTATAAGAATAAGATTTTTGAAGTGTCAAGGCTGCATCCTAACTCTTACCACTTGTTCTTTAACTTAGCTGGAGAGCAGTGAATTAGCATGAGGTCATGGTTTATTTTTAGAAAGTGATGATGTCATTCACTGAAAGTGGACACTGGGAGCAAATGCTTGAGTCAATAATTTATCTGAAAGCACTTTGCTCCTGCTGTCTTCCTCTTTCTATTTCATTCACTTCATCTCTCTCCTCACTTATGCGTCTTTGTCATCCTGTGTCTCCTTCACTGTGTGTCTTTGCCTACACACTGCATATTTTTTTTCCCCCTCCTCTTTGACTGTCTCTCTCCATCTTTCTCTCCCACCCCTCAGACCTTCAAGTGGAGGGGTTGTTCCGTGTGCCAGGCCACAGCTTAAGGCAGGCAGCCCTGAGGGAGATGTTGAACACTGGGTCAGAGATAGATCTAGAGACAGGCGACTTCCATCCCAATGATGCAGCCACATTGCTCAAAGCCTACCTGGGAGAGCTGCCAGAGCCTCTGCTGACACACAGACACTATCATGTGCACCTGAAGATTGGAGGTGTTGGTTGACTCATACACAGATCCTTATCATGGCTTAAGATAAAATTATATTTGATAAATCAAAGAATCATCATATTCAATTAAAGAAAATTGTAGTGATCCCCTTTCTCTTTGATAATAATTCTCATATCTGCTGTGTCAAGAGCTCACTCGCTTCGATGATAAGGGGGATAAGACGAACGTGCCTGACAAAGAACGCCAGATTGAGGCCTTTCAGCTGCTTTTCATGCTGCTCCCACCAGCCAACCGCAGCCTGTTGAAGCTGCTACTGGATTTGCTGTACCACACCGCACGCAATCAACACATCAACAAGATGTCTGCAATTAATCTAGCCACAATGTTTGCTCCACACATCATCTGGCCCAAAAACGTAAAGACCTTTGGTTAATTTTGTTCAATCTTCCAAGTATGTTACAACCCCACTATGTTTTCAGTCAAGTAAACCACAATTTTTTTTTTCTATATTTTTATGTTGCAGGTGTTGGCAAGTGATCTGCAGGGAAACATTGAGAAACTGAATAATGGCATAGCATTCCTCATCAGGCACTCACAGAAACTGTTCAAGGTAAGCGGCTTTGAAGTCTGTTTTTCTGCATCTGATGTCTTGTTTTGTAACGTTGACTGTTTCCAATTAAATGTGTGAATGTTTTTCAGTTGTTGCTTTTCTCTGTACTAAACTTTACTTTCTTTTAAAAACAAACAAAGGCAGTTCTAGATATAGTTTTTCATAATGTGTTTTCTCCTCGCTTCTGATGAACCCTTCGTGACAAGTGGTGTTGTTGCCACGGTTACAAGATATACAAACAGGGTTTAAGAGACAGAATACATGTGTAATGTGAAAGTAAAATCAATGAAGACTTTGTTTTTCAAAATGTCTTGTCACCTTTTAGATCTTCATGATTGGTTTATATATTTTCATTTATATACATTGATTATTTACTTGATGTATTGCACACAATGTACCCCTCCAAGTGGAAGACGTCAGCTTTAATACACCCTGTGTTCAGGTGAGAACGAGGTCATGAATGTCCAGGTGTATTAATTTATGATGTGTTAGATCTATTCTTCACAATCTGGCATCACAGGATTTATTATACACGTTTACTTTCTTTGAAGGCACCTGTGTATATCAAAGAATATGCCCGCTCATACTTCACAGGATCAAAATCTCTTCAATCAAAGGTGAGTGTTTCTCTCCTTTTGTCTTATCTTCTATTTGTAACCATGTAAAGAGTGTTAGCACTGCATTACATTTATGTATTAATGTAACTAACATGTATAAAGCTGTTGTAAAGGCTTCCACAGTAACATTTTTGTCTTTGCTAACTTTTGAATCTAGTAACTTTGGTGGTTAATCTTAGGTACATAGAAGCTGCACAGCTATTATCTGCTACTGGGCATTAGAGTAGATAGAATGATCAAGTTATGTTTTTACATGTTTTGCACACTGTGTGACTTTATACATTTCCTTATGGTCATGTCTCCCGAAAAGAGTTGGATGTTTCAGTGAGTTAACAGTTTAAATATCTGGTCACATGTTATGGCTGACCTTTCTAGGATGACTTGACGCTGTGCTCTGGGACCAAGAACGCTGTGACAGCTGCCCCCCCTTCTCCCTTCATGAAATCAATTGAAAGTGAGGTCAGCAGCACGTGCACTGCCAAGTCGTCTGAGACTCAGACTTATACTGAAACTGCCCTCAGAGAGCTGTACCAGCAGGTCAACAACATGCCTGAGTCTGCCAAAAAGAAGAAGCTCATCAGACAGGTACAGTAGTTCAGTGTATTTGCTGTGAGGAGAAATAACATTTAGATAAATTACTGCCAACCCAGCCCCTAAATGTGTTGTATTTTTGTGTATAGTTTGAAAAGCAGCCTTTGCTAACACCTTCAGCTGAGTGTCGGACACCTTTCAGCAGGAAACACTGGCGCTCACGCTCTTTGGGTGGAATGATCAAGGTTTGTTGCTCCTGTGTACAGCGATAACCCTCACTTTTCAGTCTTGATATTATTCTGTTTTAACTATGGAGACATTTTTTTCTTTATTACTACCATTGATTCTACTGAAGACGATTTTGATTAGCAGAACAATAAGACTACAAGCGACTATAATTTTTAAAGACTAAAATTATTTTATGATGAAAGTAATGTATTCAACATGTTTGTAAAGTCTTAAGCATACATGTGTGTGGACACTATGCGTATATAGTGTTTTTTGCTGAAATACATGTTTGTGTGTGACGAAAAATCGACAGGGTATTATTAAAACAGCCCTGACTCGCTACAGTCTTATCCATTTACCAGTCATGAGTTTTTGTTTACAAAACAGAGGAAGGTGTTGGGAAGCCAAGTATTGACAGAGAAAGAAAACAGCAGCCTGCAGAGTCCTCTACACAGCAGTTCCATTGATGGCCAAGGAACAGAAAACACCAGCTGTGAAGAGGTGAGTATTGCACTGCTAAACTACACACACACACACACACACACACACACACACACACACACACACACACACACACACACACACACACACACACACACACACACAAACTTTTCTGAAAAAAGTTGTTACACAGGAGCAATTAATCTTCACTATTGGAAATCATCACCTACCACCATACTCCTATTGGCTGCAACTGACAGTGACTTCACATACAGCTAGTACAACAAGACAGAAACTTCAATTCAAAAACTATGAAAACGGTGACATTGTCTGTCATGGTCCCCTATGATTATGATGTACATGGATGGAGAAGCACTGAAGTAGTAATTCTCTTTTATTTAGACCAAAACCAATCAAAATGTCACATTTAAATTGTGGGACATCATGATTCACTCCTAAAACTGTCATCGACCAGTGACAAGTAGTTTTCCTCATGACTGCTGAAGTAATTTTCTGGCGCTTGCAGCCATGTGTCTGTGGTTCACCACAGGCAAGTCTGGCCTCACTTTGACTCAACAATGCTTACATTACTAATGATGCCTGATGTACCCGTCTGAAAGGATTAAAAATTACCTATTCCTTTTTTTTCTCCCTCTCTCTTCCAGGATTAATCATCTTTAAAAGAATGTGCTGTTGACAACTAAGGAAACATCAGTATAACTGTTATGTTCGATGCATTAAAGGACCTTCCCGAGGCGTTGACTCAAACTAAACAGTGTAATGCACTGTATAGCTTTGTTGACACCATGTTTAGATCTGTACTCGGCTGTTTTTCGCAAAAAGTAAGTTCAAGTCTTTAAGGTTATTGACATAGCAAGGAAATCACCTTGTTGTTTTGCAGTCTAGAAGTTTGACTTAAGATAAGTGACATAAAAGGGGTTAATGGACAAAAGTGAGGATCTTACATGCTTTATTTTAGGTCAATGCAATTTACCATTTTTCTTAAGTTCTTTATTTCTTGTCCATTTATGTCATTGTTAAGGATGCAAATTACATTCATTTACACCAGTGAATTTGTCGGTATTTAGCTTTACAATTGACTAAAACATGGTTTTGTTTAATTTGCAAGCCTATATTGTATTTATTTTATTATCAGTCATCTGGATGTTTGAAGTCCTGGAATCCAGTGTATCAGATGTAATGGTGCAATGTGATGTGTGGGCTTTTCTATTGAATTTGCTTATAAGTTGTGGTAAGTTTAGTTAGACTCATGCAGTCAGTGCAGACAGTTCAAGAGTTTTATTAGAAAATGAATTCATAGATGTGCCTTAAAGTGAATATATCTTAAATTACTGTTTTTATTTAACATTAAGATGTCTTCTTTTTTCCCCCTGTAAGTTCCCAATAGCTTCTTATAAAGAATCCATTCAAGTGTTAGTAAAGTAAGGGTGTAAAGACTAAAAGAGAATGAAGAATGGAAGATAGGAGATACTGAGTGGAAGGCCAAAGGACCAGCTTGTGTAGATTATATAAATATTTATGTCTTTGTCCCAAAATCAGCTCAACACTTGGGTGCCAACACTGTGATACTTTAAACTACTGTTTCTTTAAACTATGGTTGGTTGGTTTTAAATCTTATGTCTTAGCTTTTCTCAGGACAGTTTTGATTCTTATGCAACATTGTAAACAGTTTTATAGCTTTATATGCATCGTATCTTTTCAGTTATTCAACTGTTAAGTGACTTTTTTTTTATTATTTTCAAAGTTTTATTGTTTATTTTTATCTTTTATGTTTTCAATGGTTAGCTGAATGCAAATGAAGATGAATCAGCTGCCTTGTTTTGTGGCATCGTGGGTTGTCGAACCAGGTGCTTTGTGGGAGAATTTGAGCCACTTTTAAAATCTCCCTGTGTCTTACTATTTCAGTAGCAGTTTCCAGTGCAGTGGTCGCTCTACCAAGCTGTTACAACTTAACTATAATGTGATAACTGCCTCATGGTCAAGTTAATGGACCATGTAAACTTGATATTGATGTTACTGTGAAGCTTTGCAACTCACTGTAATTAAAAGACATCAAGCTGCGTTCTGTGGCTGTTCTTCTTTAAAATGTCAGAATATGTGCTTTAGCAGGATGATGACATAATTATGAACCTTTTCTTATTTTACCACGTCTCTTAAATGAAGTGTGGTGTTTTTCATTCTTAGCCCTCCCTGGAATGTGAGTAGTGTTGCTGTCTGCGATTATGTGATGTTATTTCACTACACATTGCAGCCACAAGGTGGTGCTCTTTAGTTGCAAATAATTAGGCACTCTTGAGAAGGCGTCTTCCTTTTGAATTGGTCGAAGTACATTCGTGTTAAAGACAAGTGTCAATATGAGACAAATCTGCTTACTAACTACTCCTAGGCTGTTAAATACCATAATATGTGAGTTTTCAGTATTTAACAAAATAAGAAGTAGTAAATAATTTAATAAAACTAATTTTATCACAGTGGGTATTGCTTAATGAAACCCATTTATATGTATATCCAATAGTTCCCTTAATTACAATAAAACAGAAAACGGTGAACAAATGGTTGACTTTTACTAGGCTGGCTCCATTGCAGCAAATAAGAACCAGGAAGAAAAAACTGAAATTCAACGTGTCCTGAAATTTTCAGATGTCAAATAAAATTAACTAAAAATTAAATCTGTCTCATGCTCATGAACAACATGTGACTAATAATAATAAAAAGAAATACCCAGAATTTCACCAAAGGAAACATGAAACCTACCCAAGTTGCTGCTTATTGCAGTAAATGATTTGCCCAAATTGAACTTATTTTATGGAGTTGGATGGTGAGTGGGTGGATAGTAAGAGTGGAGGCAGCTCTCCACAATAGGAGGAATGTCTCAGTGTGTCATTATGGTGTCCATGTCAATGCATGTTTGGTATTGTAAGTATATGTTGTAAACATCTGTGAGAATGGGTCTGCTTTTTCTCATGTTCTGTAAATATACAACAGACAGCTTCCATGATAGGAACAGTATTGTTTTACAGCCAAAACTCCAGAGGGGTTTTATTTAGCATTCCTGCTCCAGAATGAGCGTGATGACTGTAACATGAGTCAGACATACTGTAATCAACTTTACATTAACTGGTGTGCACACAAACCCACAAGCATATATGATGAGTGGATCTGATTTTGCTTCAAGTGTGTGCACTAAAATTCCTCTCAGAGGAAGCGAATTCAGTCTAGAACCGTAGTGAAATAATTTCTAACAGATCATTTGTGTTAAAAGATAAAAGCACTTCATTTTAAAGTTAAAATCCTTCTGTAGTTTTCTTTTTTTTTTTTTTCTTTTTTTTTAAACAATGCATGGACAGAAGAGGATTTTTCTCCTCGCCTTTTCTTTAATGCACAGCTCTTCTGAAAGTGAAATACAAATAACTTTGGTTGAAAAATGCTGTGGAATTTTCTGGATGCCAGATCTGGTTTCTTTCTATTTTCTTTCTCTCTCACTATTAAGAGCATTTCAGTTTTTGTGTGGCAAGCATGTAGACGTTAACTGGTTCATTCCCCTATTCAGCCATGAGCAGCTGCCGGCACGGTCTTGATGAACTTTTGATTCTTTTATTTCCAACTTTGGGCACGAGCTGTAGGAAAATATTTGTTTGTACCCCACAGGGTTCGGCAGTACTGTGAATTTTTAAATTGGGTGTTATTCCATATTAATTGCTGTTCGTTCCTCACTTTCAGTCAGTTGTTGGTGAGGTCTTGTGTCTTGCAAACTCTCCTCTCCCAGACTAATTGTAAATTGCTGCCATGTCCTCCCACGGCTTTGAGAGCAGCAGAATAATTCCTGTTGTCTATTTGTGCGCATTCCTATCACGGCTCTGTGAGAGGGGAGGGACGTTACCCCCACCCCCCATTACCACTAAACACCACTGTCTCCTCTTTAATTAGCCATTCATAGAGGGAAGATCTACACTGCACTGACACTTTTACTGGCACAGATGGAGCTTTTTTTTTCCCGAGGTGTGTATTTGTATGTGTACACCTGCACGAGCACATACATCCATATGCACATGTTTCGAGTTGGTCAATGAACAAAGCAGACAGATGCACACAAAGTCAAATCTTTGTGCTTGCATCTTCCTTGCCTGTTTCTTTTTTTTTTCTCTCTCTCTCTCTGTGCCTTTGTCAGTTAAAGTGAATGGGGTTCTTAGGTCTATGTGAGTGTGCTCACAAGTGGCTTTAACTGAGACATGGCCAAGTAAAGCTGAGCTGTTTGTTTGGTGACACTTTACTATTACTTATAGAGTGAACAACAAATACCTGACTGACTCTGAATCAAGTATTATTTATAAAGTTGTACAAAAACAGGTACATGCTATGAAAATCAGTCTGGTTAGCTAGTTTATTATAATTAGTTTCTAGGTATCTGCAAATCTCACCGTGAGCACCTTATGAATCATTCGTGATTAATGCTTAGTCAGGTGCTAAATGGCACTAAACCACTAATGTACCATTCCTTTCTTGCTTGTCATTTATGTTAAAGGGTTTCTAAAGTAAAGCGTTTCCCCCACCGAACTAACAATTCTTAACTCAGCAGGGCGCACTGCATCACATGAGGGGATGTAAAAATAGTAACTCATATTTATGTATTATAGCAAAGAGGCCAATGTGTTAGTAATTGGTTTTGTGCCTTTCAGCAGCTGATTCAGCGTTAATCAAGGGTGCTTCATTAAGGAGGTGGTCAGCATGCAGACTCACAAATATCTAGGGTCTAATCATTACACACTGGTTCAATAAAAAAAGTCTGTCCCAGGGACAGAAGTTAAGAAGTGCCTGTTGTTCCTCTCTTTTCCTCAGTGACCTCTCATAGTTTTCAGTTGTTTATTTTAAAGTGTCACCACTTGTTTAATCGGGTGGATAACATTCAACAATGAACTTTGGACTCAACTCATAAAAATGAGAGGTCAGTTTCCTACCCGCATCCAGAATACTGATGAGCAGTTCCACAAACTGCAAATCAATACACATTAACAAAGGGTTTCGTGAAAGCTACAATTACACTGTCAACAATGACTGGACTCTAATATATCCACTGTTTCAACTAAATGTCAACCATAGCAAAATAATATTTATTAAGAATTCCTTTAAAGTAAATAATGGCCAGCAGATGCTGCTTATCATGAAAGTTTCCCTTCTCAACACAGTCCAGTTTATGTCTGTATGCTTTTGAATCCACTTCAGGGAATGCATGGTCTGGGCATTAAGAGAGGAATTATGTGCCAGTTCCTCCTATAAATCCAAATAACAGAGCAGGTATGGCTACGAGTGTAGCTGTTTGTCTTTTCATTTGTATATATTAGGATATAATCTCTGCTCCTGTGCCCATGCTGTGCTTAAAATATAGTGTTGACTTACTTTTTATGGCTGTGGTCTGCCTTCCCAACAGATCATGAATATTTGCGTGTGTGTGTGTGTGTGTGTTTTCACCCCAGTTCCCTGGCGCGGCTTCTGTGTGTGTGGCCACACTTGATCTACATGTTAAGACCCACACTTACGGATTATTTATTCCGGCTTTTTGCCTCCAAGGACTGAGGTGTTGATTCCTCTCTTTCCCAGTGGATTCTCCTTCGTTACATGCACACATTCATGCAGACACACACACACACACACACACACACAGCCCAGTCTCCCCACAGCTTCTCCCTTCGGGCAGGGGTTATGCAGTGTCATGCAGGTTAGGTCTCTCTCTAGGGGTTCGCCTGGAGGCAAACCGGAGAGAAAAGAGGGAGTGGAGTGAGTGAAATAAAACAGAAAAAGAAAGATACTCGGAGTAGATTTGTGTTGTGAATAGAATCAAGGGAATGAAAGAAGGATCTCGAGAATGAGAGTGAGTTCAGGCAGGGTTCTGGTTGTGGGGGTGGGTGGGGGGTGTGAGGAGGGGGAGGAGTGGGGGGAGGAAGAGGAGGGGTAAGGGGTAGGGGTCGGGGGGCTCTGCTATTTGTAGAATCCTTGTGATGGATGACTGGCGTGTGTGTGTGTGTGTTTTGTGTGTGTGTGTATGTGAGGTAGGGAGGAGAGAGAGAGAGAGAAAGAGACCTGGCTTTTTTTTTCTTTCTGCTCTTTCCTTATTCCCTCTCTCTTCAGGCAAGCAGAGCAGAGCGGGACTGAGTGAGAGGAGGACAGAGGCGCAGACGTGTGCAGACCAGAGCACAGCAACTCCACAAAGACAAGAGAGGAGAAGAGTTTGCAAGGAGAAAATTAAGAGAAAGAAAGCAGCTTTTTTTTTAACATCAGCAAACTGTGGTGGATATCAAACCTACATCGAAAGAAATCTAGAAGAACAAAAAAGGATTTGCTTTGCTTCACAGCTAAGAGGAAAATATTAGCATTTGTTACAGTTTTTTTTTTTTCTATTTATATTCACCACATATATGAAATTATTGTAGAGGACTCGTGAGGTGTATCAGCACTCTTGTTTTTTGCAGAGAAGCAGAGAGAGAAAGGTGGACAGAGAGAAGTAGGGGTTTGTTTGAAGAAGAGCAGCAGGCTGCAGAGGGTGGTGAATATGCCCGTTAGAGGTAGCTGTTTTGGGGCAGGCATGGGCAGGCTGGCCAGGCTGCCACTCTGGATGTGGGTGGTGATGCTCTCTGCCCTGCTCATGGGCAATGCCAGTGCCTGCCCAGCCCTGTGTGCCTGCAGCGGCACCACAGTAGACTGCCATGGACTGGGTCTCAAAACCATGCCAAGGAGTATCCCCCGCAACACTGAAAGACTGTGAGTACCATCTGTACTCTACCTCCTGTGCGTGTGTGTGTGTGTGTGTGTGTGTGAGACAGAGAAACTCCCTGACTGTGTCCCTCTGTCTTTTCTCACTGTTTCCTCTCTGTTTCTTTGCTATCTTGTAGAAGTGCACATGACTTTGCTAAGACTGAAAGAGAACAATAGCCCTGCCTGTAAAGCTCTGTGCATATGAGTGTGCATGTGTGTGTGTGTGTGTGTGTGTGTGTGTGTGTGCGTGTATGTGTCAGTCAGTCACTCACTGGCATTCCAGTCAGGTATAAATAGGCATGAGGGACTGGAAAAAGAGTAGGAGCAGATGTTTGCGTTTCACATGTGTCCATAATTTACTTACCTGCTTGTTTATGCTTGCTTGTATGTATTTTATAAATTTTTTTTCTAAATCCTGAAATCAGATGGATGGAGTCAAATTTTTGACTTTTTAGAGTTTTAAAAGTAAAGTTTGACTTAAAGTTTAAATCTTAAATTGTTGACAGACGGAACCAGATTTGCTACCTGGTCTATGATTATCTTACATTCTGTTATGTTTGGGAATATGTTTCCCCTACTCATATCAGGAGTCCTGTCCTGAGCACTGTGCCTCTCTTTATCTCTTTTCTTCCCCCCTCCCCACCCCTTTTCATTTTCTTTCACTCCCGGGCCAAAGACTCCCCTCTCTCCCCTCCTCAGTCCCCTAAACACTCACTCCACAAATTGTTAAATCATGTAGAAAATTAAGCAAATCTGCTACTTAAGTGAGTCTTGCACGAGGATCACGTAGCTGTCTTGTAAAATGGGGAGGGGGCGGGGGGGGGCAGGAGGGAGAGGTGAGGCAGAAGCTGGCTTGCGGATTGGAGTTTCTCTGTCTGTTCTGACATTCCTCTGAAATATTCATCAGTAAATCAGAAGTGAGGAGTGCAAGGGGAAATAGATTGTTCTATTTCAGCTTTTAGAATATCAGTCCTGAATAAAACATGCGGTGGGAACGGAGGAGAGAAAGCCTGTGTCAGAGGCAGCGTTGGCATAGTGGGAGCTGGCTGCATATTTTATGCTTTTCATATTTAATTTCTAAGAACACCTTTTTTTTTCTTTTTTTTTTTTGGCGTGGCGGTCTGCATGTTTCCGGGTTGCTTATGTGCACATGCTGGTTCAACATTGAAGCAGAGGGGAAACATGGTCATTTTGTGGTTTCCTTTTACATGAATGGCCATTCACACTGGAAATATACTCTGCCCCTTCACTCAAGAGCATTTTTGTGTTGAAAGTTGTTTGTGCATTCATCGGTCATGTACAGCAGAGGATTTTATCGTTGTAGCATCTCAAGCACGTCAAGCACACTCAGGATGCTGCACGTTAAACATGATGTGTATAAAGGTCATGGGCAATTTATTCCTGGGTCGTTGCCTCTTTTTTTTTTTTTTGGTGTGTGTGTGGTGCTGCATGTATTAGCTGTGTGTGTAGGTCACATAGAAGATAGCCATGTCTCCATGGAGAGGTACTACGCAACAATAGAGGCTCTGCTCTTTTGCGAGCCATTATATAGGGTGATTCATCAAGGTGGTTGTGCAAGTCAACACAGCCCACCGTGCCCCACACGATGGTCCCATGTGCATAGCTAGATTTATGTGTATGTGTTTGGGAAATATGTGTTCATGTGAATGAAACTGCACAACCAATACTGGGGTCAAAGACGGGTAATGAGTAAGTCAAGTTCTTATAGAATAGTCCCAGAAGTTGGCGGTCCTTGTCTTTAGAAGTTTCTTAGTAGGAATTTGTTGAAATTACAAAGATTTCAAGCGTGTAATGTTCCAAAATGTACTCGCCTGGTTTTAATTAAAGGAGGGGGTAATATTAATGTCGGGAGGGAAATCAGATGCAGGTAAGAGGAAGCAAAGAAAGTAGAAAAGCTTCACTTTGTCAGGCTGGTTCGTCATATGTTTATGGATATCGGTGTGAATGCATACATGTGTGTTTGCGCCCATGTATACAGAGGTGATGCTTTTGGGCGATAGAGAGTGTTAAAGAAGGAGGGGGTTGGTTTTTGGAGAAAGTGTGTGTGTGTGTGTGTGTGTGTGTGTGTGTGTGTGTGTGTGTGTGTTTGTGGGGCAGGGTGTGTGTACGCAGGGTGTTGAGACAGACAGCAGAATCCCATTTGCACTTGTCAGTTTGGGTTTGGATCAGGTCTGACCCCTGCGCTGCTCAGACTGAAGCCTGTAATGAGACTGCGAGCTCCACGTGTTAAAATCACACCCTGCCTCGTACGGGCCACCGGCCGCCTCCTCCCCCTCTGCATCCATCCTCTCTCTCCAGCTCTATCCCTGCCTCTCTCTTCTCCCTTGTCTCCAGGCCATTTCTTTATTCATCTCCTGTGGCAAAATATCACATTAACATGGTAATCACACTGATATCAGACTACAGTGAGAGAACATCAGCATCTGTAAGGCTGATTAAAGTGGTTTTACACAGACAGTAAAGGGTGTTAGTTAAGCTTTTAGGTAGACAGGTATTGACCAAACCTGCAGCTTTTCTCTCTCCGTGCTTTATCTCCCTAACAGCCCTGCTGCTGCTCAGATTAGTGTGTGTCTCATCTCAATGAGTTGATTTGCAAAAGCTGTGTCTGTGTGTATGTGCGTGTGATTGTGAATGTGGGTGCACCATCACCTAATTGCAAAAAGCCAGTGTATTGATGATGGGTTTTCTGTGCCAGAAAATACCCTTTACTGAGATTTGGGGGTATGCTGGAACTCTTCCAGAATAGAGGAGGAGGTGGAGGCTGCACACCATATGTGTGTGTGTGTGTGTGTGTGTGTGTGTGTGTGTGTGTGTGTGTGTGTGCGCGCGCGCGCCTGTATAAATTTGACGTTAACTTGTGTTCCTTCATAAACGTGCGCATGTGCCTCCATATGTGTTTATACATGCGTGCGGTGAATAAGTAATGTTAGATGAAAACACATGAGGGTTAGTGGTGTTTGAAGACGAGGGGCTCCCTCGCTTCGATAACCATGTATATGTATTTCGAGGGTTGGAGGTGGGAGGTGTGTGTGTGTGTGTGTGTGTGTGTGTGTGTGTGTGTGTGTGTGTGCGCGTGCGTGTGCCAGGGAATGCCTGCGGTGTTTTTGGCACCAGCACATAGCTGGTACAACTGACAGCTCACCGGCCACCTGATCCATAATTTACCCTGACAAGACTGAACACAGCCTGCCCACTACCTGCCAACTCTGGCTATGTGACTAGACAAAGAAGTGGGGTGAGGGGTGGAGCTGGGGAGGGGTTTGAGAGCAGGATGAGAAGATCCTTCAAGGCGAGGCTGGCACAGTAACTGAGGTGGTAATCACTAATGAAGGGATTACTGCGCAGAGGAGTGAAGAGACTTGTAACTCAACCACAAAGCTAATGAATGAATAAACGAGATTATGTTATTTATTATAAAGGGCTAAATAGGTCTAGCCCTGAGGCAAAGTGAATTTCATTCAGGTCCTTTTTTACAGTTTAATATATCCATCCTCATAGCCGGTAGTCCCATGAGGAGTGATAATGCCTGGAATGAAGATCATTCAGAGAATGTTTATGCTCAGTGTAGGATTGTGAAATTACAGGCCAGGGACACAGTCAGTTCAATTTACTGCCTGTGCAACACAGCTGTGGTCTTTCCTCTTGTACTGGAGACTGTTGTGGACTTCATCTCTCTCGCTCTTGCTGTGTTTTGAGTTTTAGTATTTTGTGAGTTGTTTTTGTTAGTCTTCTGCCCAACGCAGTATGTGGAAATAAAGTGTGGGTACTGTAGTTTCTCAAATCGCTAATTACATTGAAGTAAATTGAATATTTTGGGGTTTTTGAGTGTTTGGCTGACAAAAGAAGACATGTAAGGATATTGCCTTGAGGTCTTTGACTTCTTTGTCTAGTCACAACAGTTTGCACCATTTTCTGATGTTTTGCAGGTCAGACGAGTAATCCATTAATTAACTAATCAACTAGTCAGCAGATTAAACAATAGTAAAAATAACTGTTAATATCTGCAGCCTTACGTGTCTATGCATCACTTTTTGCACTATGCATACATGTAGAGTCAGTGTGTTGCTTGTCTAAGCGAAGTGATGACAGAGTGCTTAGCATCAAAGCCAGCTGCTGTGTGTCTAAACACACCTCAGACCTACTGGCTCGCTCTCCTGATGAGCACAGCTACTTTATGGAAGTGTTTGATTGCACTCGTGAGGGCTAAGAAATGACCCCAGCAATGGCGTGCGTGCGTGCGTGCGTGTGTGTGTGCATGCATTCATGTGTCAGAGAATGCCTTCCAAAACCAATGCCTGCACTTTTTCTACTTGTGCATATCTGACACGCTTACATATGATATGTGTGTGTGCATGTGCATATGTGAGTGTACATGCATGATTGCTTTGCACGCCTGTCTAAGAGTGGCTGTATCTCAGCAGACCGTGAAAATCGAATTTGGAGAATCCACCTAGATCACCTTTCATCTCTCGGAAGTTCATCTTTGCTTTTAACCCTCCTGGCTAACCAGTAAGAAGCTGGCAAAGGAGAGTGGAGGGGGTGGGTGATTTGTGTGTGTGTGTGTGTGTGTGTGTGTTACATCGATGAACGCTCTCCTGACATTGTAGATATGCCTTCATAATCCACATTTCACGCTAGTCAAGACGCTTTTGATGTGATACAAGTTTGAGAGGAAATTATAGACAGCTTTCCAGATGCAAGGGTATAGCATGTTAGTGCTGTGTTCATTGCAACAGGAGAGTGTAATGCATAATGATTTAGTCATATTTAATTCTCAAAACTAATGAAACAAATAAAACGAATCAGAAAAAAGTCAAAACTTTCCCACCTCAAGGCAGAATTATTCCACATAGTTTGATAAAAAAATAATTATTTAAGATTCAATAGGAAACTGAATTACTTTGAGATGCAAATTACATTTTTTACATTTTTCAATAATTTTCTCAATGTATCTTTTAATCCATTTTGTTATTTTCTCTGACCAA